GTCATTTAAATAGCGAAACTGTGCATCTCCAAATTTAAATATGGTGAGCATCCCAATTTGCTAGTGCTATTTGAATTTGAAATAAGATTACGAAATGTAATGGTATGAGAAATGTATGTTGAAATTATATTATGTATGTATGAAATAAGTTGGAATAAAAAAAAATGAAATTTTTGCTGAAGAGTGATTGCATCCATATATGTTGAAAAACTCAGGTTGATTAATTTGATTGATGTCAGTAACAGAAACCTTAGATTATTAGGGCTGTACCCAGTGATCAAAATAAAACAATTTCAACACCTTCAAATATGACGGGTGACCAAATTTTTCACCCGTCAAAATAAAATTTCACCCATCAATAATTTTTGGGTGAAGTAATTTTTTCACCCATCAAAAAATCCTGAATCGACTAGGTTTAACTTGTTGAACTAAATGTGAACTAATGCAAGGAAAATTGTCCCATGATGTAAAAGAAATAAACACCCTCTGTAAAGAAAAAAAGGTGCATGGTCCTGTATCAAAAAAAAACATTTTCAATATTTTGCATAATTTTACTAAACTCTTTGAGGCATATTGTGTAGATGTTGTAAATAATTGGTGGAAATCTTTAGAAATTAGATGAATATTTAAAAAAGTTACCCATGGTTAAAACATTGTCTCGCAAACTCACTAATGTGCCTTTTTCCTTTAAATTACATCATAAATTGCAATTTGTGACTATACACTGGAGTACATTTTCCTCTATGGCTAGGTTATCATTTTATATGTTGAATTTTTCATATAATTGTGAAGACAATCTCAAACTGTTCATGACTGACAGGTTTGCAAAAAAACATTTACACAGAACACATTTTACATGAAGTTATGGTAGTGCTAAAACCCATCTAAAGCATGATTTTTAAATGATTTTACCCCTTAAATAGTAGTGAAATTAAAGATAAGAATATGTAACCATTTTGCTCAATAAACATATTTATATTCTCATCTGACATAATTTTTGGTATGAATAATCTAAATAAGGGATGCATAACATATTTATGGGTGATTTAGAAAGACCAAGGGTTGTAATTATCTTACAATTTCAAGTTTTTTGTTATAAATGTTATCCCTACCCCAGAACCCCTAATTTTGAACTGAAGAGAGACCTCGAATTCTATCACAAGATGGTTCTATTAATCAGACTTTCATTCTATTTAAGATGCAGTATACCATAGGTTTCTCGCCCAGACAATCAATGATGTTCCATTGTTATTGCTAATATAATATCTCACATACCATGGATACATCTTGAGATTACGCGCCTTGAACCAGACAGCCAATCAGATTGATGATAAACAAATTCAACGACCAATCAGATAACAGGGGGATTTTCCCGGTATATTCAAACTTCAGATTGAATAATTTCAGTGAAAATAATTAGATCAGTCAGCACAATCGAAAAATTAACACTTCTTTTTGCTTTGTTTCATAAAGGGTATTGGCAGCATTGCTGCTTCCAATGCTGCTTCCTTGGCATATGTGTCAGCTAGTTCATTGCAGTCAATTCCTAGATGGCTAAGGACTTGGTAGTGGGTTAATACATTACAGCATGCACTCGTACTGTGGACCAGATACCTAGACTTTTCAATGCATTGGGTTATATCTGGATTTGCTGCTTCTCAAGGTTCTTAAAATACTAATTTTGCGTTTGAATAATATAAACCTTTAAAGGTATTTTATTTCTCTTCAATGTTATTTCAATTAGGACAATAGATAGTGTGTCAATATTATATCAATTTAGACAGTGTCACTATTTTCCTTTATTTGCTTAATGAAAGATGTCAGGCCAGTCCAACTTGAGAAAATTAATAATCAAGCCAGATACTTATCAGGAATTTATTTACTCAATCAGATTTTTACTGTTTTTTTATGGTTGAGTTAAATGATGTAGCAATTTTGATCTGACAATGATACGAATTGCTTTAAGAAGCTATAGTCCAGTTTAAACATTGCATGTGTATTTAGGCTACCAGTCTAAGAATGGATTATGTTATAGTAGCACTAAGTGTCTCAGTTCTCAAACAACAGAATCTGTTCATAAAAATTCACCATCAAAACACCATAGACAGTGACTGTTTTCAGAATATGTGTGAAGCTGAAAAGGTTCAACTAAAATTTTACCACCTGACATGCTCAAGGATGCTGTTTTATAACATTTGTATTGAACTTACACATTTTTTAAGTTAGATCCCAGCTTTGGCATTTAAATGACTGAGAAATAGGGATTGAAACTAGTTACTGTTCTAACCATTATTACAGTTGGGATATTTGGGTTTTTTTTACTTATGGCTGGTAGCACTTTTTGATGTTTCATTTTCTAAATTATTTTACTATTTGACACTTCTGCATACTCTTTTTTAGACTCTTGAAGTAGTATTGGTGTTTAATTGATCTCCAACATTTTGATTATTTGAATTTGAGTGTCAGATGTGTCATATGACATCCAATATTTCCTTGAGACACCAAAAATAAACTGATTTACTTGAAATAAATGATAAGTTACAGAAAGATAGGAAAATGAAACACTCAAAATATATGTTTAAACCAAGATTCAAATCAAAACAAAGGTGTTGAACCGTCAATCCTGTATAAAAATGTTACCAGGTTATTGGTTAAACCTCTATTAGCTAGATTACTGAGGTAATTCTAAATTTGCTTTGGATTGATCATTTTTAACACTTAGGTAAATTATTGTTGATCCCTCAGAGTAGAGGATAAGTTCCGCATAGTAACTTCTTGCACTTATTGTCTGCCATTTTTCCACTTTATCTTACATTTATGTTAAACAATTATCAGATTATTCTGGTTCTTAATGATTTATATTCACTTTGGGAATATGGTATTGTTACTCTAGATAGATTAGATAGATCTAATGAAACAGTTCAGTACTCTGTTACGCAATTATTTCTATTGACCGGAATTATTGTATTAGGTAAATTTTTATGATTTTTATTTATACTTATTAAGATTTCTAATAGATATTGCAATCCTATAATTATAAAATTTGTACATGGTAATAATTAATATTCCAGAACAATTTGTATCACATATGAATATATCACTGGAAATATATTGACCACAATATTGTTAATTTCCAATAGAAAATCAGTAAATAGAAACTAATTTTTTCCGTTGTTATAAATCTTTAAAATGACTAACAAAGTACAGTCAATGTTTCTATTGAATGCATGAATGGCCAATATTTATATATCTCGACTGATTTGTCAACAAAGGGGTTGATAGTTCTTCACCAGGCAAGCCTATGAATGAATCTACTGTAGTTGTTTGAACTAAGTATAAGGTAAAACTTAGTGAGAGAATTCAATCAATACCTATGGAACAGCTAATAACCACGTTAATGTATAGATGAAATATCACTTGTCGATTGACTATAAGTCTGCATAGGGCTAAGAGAATCACTTTATCTAAGTACCCAAGTACCTAGGTAAGAGTTCAGATAATTGACATAAGAAAAAATGTATGTGTGGATGACGTACTAGTTATAACAATACTTATTAATCAAGATAAATGGGATATGAAGTGACATTTCAAGAAAAGACTTACAAGAGAATTTGTAGCTCTACTGCTCTATAACCTTCAGATTGTATGGTACAAACTCTCAAAGACGTTATGAGGAATTACTAAGTATGGAGACATTAGTGATATCCATGAAGATAAAAGTTCATGATATTCTCAAGAATAAATTCATCCATTGGATTAATGCAGGAAGAATTATGGAATTATAATATATGGAATATCCATGGATTTCCCTGATAAATTAAGTTATTTTCATGTTGTTCTCCTGATTATTAATTGGTTGCTATGACGACTGCTGCAGTTCCTGTAGCAACCACAACTTGTTGGGCTTCCATATTTGGTTCTACTAGATGTAGGTAAGAATGTCACTTGAGTGTAATAATCCGATGACATTGACCTTGCCTCTTGTTGCTATTTAGTTATTGATAAATCTTTACAAAATATAGCACTGATGATTACCTAAAATGTTTACAATTTGAGCTAAATTACATAGAAAATAAAATTAATATGCTAGGACTAGCTGTTATAAGCTTCTTGGATTCTTTAAATTTGAATGAATTTTATCAGACTAGAGAATAGAAATGGCAAATGTTATATTTATTTCTCTCTCATATTACTTTACTTGATAGATTACACATAAAGATTGTAAGCAATCTTACATAGGTCTGGGAGATGTTTTTATTATTATGAGTTGAGGAAAGGTAAAATGATAAGAATCAAAGGCCAGATATCAATGCAACTTGTAGACGACTTGAGAAAAAACTAGATCAGTTTTAGTCATTTTAAAGTATGGCCTTAAAAAATATTTTAACAGTTTTTGATATCAAATGTCACGGAATCTTGTCAAAATCTGTCAAGATGGCAAAAATGCTAACACTAATAGATTACAAATTCTATCTAAGCTTAATAAGGCATAAATTGTATTTTTTGATTTGAGAACATTAATCATCTTGATTCTCAAGGTATTAGTTGCTCCAACTTCACCTTGATATATGTATAATTCCATTTCTTAAGTAAACAAAACAAAATGCTTATGAGCATGGTGTGCTCACAGCAAAGACACGATTACGTAAGACAAACAGATCAGTTCAATAGGTTCTTTCAATAGACATTCATTAAGGGCCATAAAATTGTCATTTGTAAGTGTGGTTACTTGTGAAATGAATAATTGGACAAATTTGATTGGTACCGTGGTCAAACACACGGGGAATGAGCCACCACACAGTAATGGGACAGAAAAATCAGCTATTTGTTCCAAGGGGTGTTATAATCACTTGGAATTCGAAGATGAGAACAAATAGCCAGAGATTCACAACTTGCTGTCGAGTTTGTTGAGTTACTGTGAGAAGTTGCTGCCCATACTATATATAATATCAGCTGGTACAGGATGGCCAATCTAATGTTGAGTTACTATGTGATTTCAGGGATAAAAGACGTCAGGAGCTTGACCCTAAGGACTATACGTATGATGGACTGAAGGGAGAGACTGTTGGCAAGACTCCTGGACAATTAAATGGTCAGCAGTTCACTATACAAAACTGTGAGGTAATCACTAAATTGTTAAATATATTTTAGTATATTTGATAATATTTAAATTGTCGCCCACTTCTTGGTCAACTCGTTGTCCTCAAATTGGTCAACTTGTTGTCCTCAAATTGGTCAGCTTGTTGTCTTCTACTTGGTCAACTTGTTGTCCTCAAATTGGTCAACTTGTTGTCCTCAAATTGGTCAACTGGTTGTCCTCAAATTGGTCAACCTGCTGCCTTCTACTTGGTCAACTTGTTGCTTTCTACTTGGTCAACTTGTTGCTTTCTACTTTGTCAACTTGTTGTCCCCAAATTGGTCAACTTGTTGTCCTCAAATTGGTCAACTTGTTGTCTTCTACTTGGTCAACTTGTTGTCCTCTACTTGGTCAACTTGTTGCTTTCTACTTTGTCAACTTGTTGTCCCCAAATTGGTCAACTTGTTGTCCCCAAATTGGTCAACTTGTTGTCTTCTACTTGGTCAACTTGTTGTCTTCTACTTGGTCAACTTGTTGTCTTCTACGTGGTCAACTTGTTGTCTTCTACTTTGTCAACTTGTTGTCTTCTACTTGGTCAACTGGTTGTCCTCTACTTTGTCAACTGGTTGTCCTCTACTTTGTCAACTTATTGCTGTCTAATTGGTCAACTTGTTGTCCTCTACTTCGTCAACTTGTTGTCCTCTACTTGGTCAACTTGTTGTCCTCTACTTGGTCAAAATGTTGTCCTCAAATTGGTCAACTTGTTGCTTTCTATTTGGTCAACTTGTTGTCTTCTACTTGGTCAACTTGTTGTCTTCTACTTGGTCAACTTGTTGTCCTCTACTTTGTCAACTTATTGCTGTCTACTTGGTCAACTTGTTGTCCTCTACTTGGTCAAAATGTTGTCCTCAAATTGGTCAACTTGTTGCTTTCTACTTGGTCAACTGGTTGTCCTCTACTTTGTCAACTTATTGCTGTCTACTTGGTCAACTTATTGTCCTCTACTTGACCAACTTTGTGTTTCTACTCATTGCCCTCTATTTGATTGACTCATTGGCCTCTTCTGGGCCCTTTACCTGGTCAGAAATGCTCAATTCATTAAATAATGACATGTCTTAAATGAGTGCAGATTCACTTTAGCTTACCAGTTTGATTTTCAATATGAAAACGTCATACCTTGGTAAGCAAAGATCAAGTGGGTGATAAAAGCAATGAAATAAACTCAGCTATTATTGCTGAACAATTGTTGGAACATCAGATTTGCCCAATTGCATATCAATAATTGCGTGATACATTTTATTGATCACTATATTGACTGACCCAGAATTATAATATCAATGTGGTCATGTGGTTTAAAACATAAATTAGGGGAAGAAATAGAGTAAAAAAATAACTAACTACACTATCATGCAGTCAGTACTTCAAATTATATAGAAATTTAGAAAATGGGTTGTTTGATCAAATCCAAAAAAAGTATAAGGAGATGGATATTTCTCACTTTAGAAGGGTAAATACTGTTATTAGGTGTCTAGAATATTCATGATACTTGACATAATCAGTTCCCTGATTCTCTTGTAATGTCTACATAATAACGGCAATATTGGTTTGCTAATCGCTTCATATCTGTCTCTTTAATTCACTTTATTTTGGATTTTTAAATTTGACCACAATGAGACTTTTGAGCATTTATTGTTTCTTAGGAGTTTCTGGGTAACATTTCCTGACCTGACATTGTTACCAAAGAGTAAGCTCTACCCTCACATTTCAGAGATATAGTTTCTCATGTGATTTTGATGAACAAGTCATTTGAACATGTTGCTATGCAGCCAATGGTTTAAAACCATTTGTTCAATAAATAACAAATACAGCATATTATCCCATTGTTATTTCAGTACCAGAGAAATCAAATCTACATGAATGTTAATATTTAGGGTCATATATCTCCATAACAGATTAATATTTTAGTTTATTGGTTATTAGGTGTGGTGATATCAATTTGAAAAATAGATCTTGGATAAAACAAGTGGATAAATCCAATATCACATGATTTCTATTGTTATTTGACAGTTGTTTGGAATCAATATCAGCAGCCATCCGTTAAGTAATTCTTGCTGATGTAGATAGCAACTTGAAAGTAAATATCAACTCAAAACTGTATGTTTTATGGAATAAAAGAATTAATATTTATGTCTATTTTCAATACAGATTTACATTTGTTATATCATTTATCCTACATCAAATATACACAGTTACAAACAGCTAACCATATCAATTTAAAAAAAAAGATTTTCTTGCGAAAGATGAAGTCATTTGATTTTTTGGGAATTAATTATTCACAGTAATTAATATTAGCGCTCAGGCATTATTTTCACTCGTGCTCATTTTTTGTTTTATTTCATTGATAAAATAGACTAAAACCACATGATATTACATCCAAAATTGTTCATTGGTTAGGTATATGATTATTTAGGTTAGGTTAGGCATATGATTATTTTAGTGCCAAATGATATTACTATACATATTTGTTTATTCCAGGACTGCAACATATACATATTTGACCATGTTTCCACTGTACAAATAGATGATTGTGTCAACTGTAGAATATTTGTAGGTCCAGTCAAACAGAGGTGAGTGTGCTTAAACAGATTAATTCTAATGTTGATGTTTCAAATGTATGAGAATTGCTAAAATAGCTCAAAGTTAGTGATGAAGAAACTTTCTTTAGTCCTGATGTGGACCTTTGTCATTTACTTTAAAGTAAATGCCTGTTATAGATTATGAATAAAAAATTAATAATACTTCAGTCATTAGTGCAAGCCAGGGGAGTCCAAGTGATTCAATATATATTTCAGTTTGTTCATCCGTGACTGCAAAGACTGCAAATTGATGACTGCGTGTCAACAGTTTAGGACAAGAGACTGTAAAAAGATTGACATATTCCTGAGTTGCGTCACTCAGCCAATCATAGAGTCATCTACAGGCATGAAGTTTGCCTCCTTTCAGTTCTCATATCCACAGTTAGAAGGTAATATACAATTGTGCACCTCCTGGGATTTAATGTTTAGAACAATTTTGACATGAATCATGGTTTTATATTCATGAATTCCTGCATATTTTCTTTGTTGAAGACAATAATGACAATATGCTTTTAATATCAGCACCATAAGTGGGGACATATTGTTATTAGAGAATTTTCGTTATAAGTTGTTTCAAAAACGTATACGTATACTTATAGTTTAAAGGGTCTTGTCGAACTAAAATCAATTCAAATTGATTTTCATAATCTGTACCAAGTGGGGCATAACTATTCCCGATATAGTCAAGCTCCATCATCAACTAGGGACTGCGAATACAATGTCCTTTGCTAGTGTCAATTATGAACACGATAAACTAAACGCTAGTTGACGGGTCCTTGTAGTGTACGATAAACAAGACCCTTTAAAGTGAATCACTACATGAACGAGTCGATCATTTCAAAGTTCTCATGAAATTATAAGGTCAATTTTTAAGTTTTTACGTATAAAAGGGCCTTTATACGCAGATTATAAACTTACAGAGTTGGATCTCCGCATAGTATATGTGTGGACCTACTGACCAGAATGGCTTATTAAAATTAATCGGCTGAATAGGCATAGTATCCAATCAAACAGCTCGACTCATTCATTAGCTGAACTAATTCTCCCTTCGTTATTTCTACAAGGTGATTCAAAACGATCATCTACAAAAAATATATTTGAGAGTAGATAAATCTGTAAAACCTGTGTGCTATATCAGCCTATTTGATTCTAGAAAACACATATGACACAACTAAACATGCTTTACATCAAGGGGGTACGGATGGTATGCCATTGGCCCTTTTTATTACCGTCCTAGGAGATATTTCCCGACGAATTAGGAAATGATGAAACACCTTGTTTATTGGGTTTATAAGTATAAGTATACGTATAAGTTTTTAAAAAACTTATAACGAAAATTCTCTATTGTCTCCAACTTTTTATGGATGCTGTTCGATGTTTGGCATTTGGATTTTGACATCTGTAGCAAATTTTAACAACTTCCAATAACTTGTGATTGGTGGTGATTTGATTACCAACTCCAAATTCCTAAATTACCAACTCCCTGTACTCCCTGTTAATAAGTTGAATAACCCATTTATTTAAGATGTGTTTGTTTTCCATTGTAGATCAATTTAAAAGTTCTCAAATCAGCATATACAATAATAATTGGAGCTCAATTCATGATTTCACCCCAGTTGATGGTGAAAACAACCACTCATTATTACCAGAAGTAAGAATACGTGTACTATCCATTTTATTGTCACTTTCCGCAAAAAGATATTTTCCCTCTAGAAATTGAATAAAATCTGTTTATTTATAGTGCACTGTCTTCTCTTTAAAGCAAATCTTCCATGCTTGTGTAGTATGGATATTTAATTGCAGGCATTTTTTAACTAAAATGGCATGTTTGAGAACCATCATGGCAAATTAAGATTAGATAAGATTGACTCACAATGTTTCACATGGTGATCTTATTGAATTGCCACTTGTCTGTCTATCCATTCGTCCTTCTGTCTGCCTCCTTCCATCCAAATGAAACCTGTCCTAACGATAATTGACACCATTGGGCTGGGCTCATACTTTTGCCTTGTGTTATTGATAAATAGACTATTTTGTCTAAGGAATTATCATGTGAGCCCATTTATTTCAATTATTTGTACCAATGTTTGATTCATTTTGTTGAGTAGAAATGAATAATGGAATCATGAATAAATGATACAATGTGTTAACAAATTGGTCTTGTTGTAGGATGCCAAAGTAGAAGATTACATTCCCATACCAACCATCGAACATTTTCAAAATATGCAGCTGTCCACAGATTCAAATAAAAGTGTTGTGCCAAGAACTTTGGGATCTCGGCGGAAGCCCTCAGATCAGGTATGTCATGTTTAATGATAAGAAAAGTCAATCCTTAATGCAACAGGGTTACCCATAATGCAATACATTTACCAATAATGCAATTAGTTAACCCATAATACAATGGAGGTGATTCAATGTCTGTGGCACTAGATTCCGAGATAATTTGGTTGCTTATTTCTGAGAGGGACACAGTTTTCTTTTACACATTTTGTATTTAATACATGTCATCTGATAAATTAACTTTAGTTGCTTTGATAAATATTTGTTGTTGTTGTTGGTATTTCAGAGTTGCCTTGTAGTTTTCTTCAATGATGGAGGTTCGCAAGACAGGGCTAAGAGATTCATAGAGGCAATGAGGCAATATGTAAGTACAATTTGAATATTACTGTATTGTACTAACAAGAACCGCATTGTTTAGTCACTATTTTATGATCAAAGCTGTTAAGTGTTAGCAACTGTAACAGTTGTGACACATTTGTAGGTGGTGACATTTTCAAATAGTTGTCTCCAGCGGTTAATTCTTATTCTTTCTTTAACTTGCCATCATAAAAATACATATGAAAGCCTAATTGTAGTATATTGCGTTCACTGCATGTGTTACTTCAATCTAATTATAGGTAGAGAAATAAAATACTGTACTATACTGTAATTATGTAGGAACCTGCGAATAGCACTTAGTTCTGCAAATAGCTTTAACAATGTAATCACTATGATGTTGCAGCAATTCATCATGAAAATTGATCTTGAATTGATGACTTTATGCGATAATTCTGTGGCGTTTTAAAAGGGATTCCTTAATTGCATATCATGTTTTAATTGTTCAAACAACTTTTTTGCTATGTTATTCCAATCTTAAAGCCCTTGCAGTTTCCCAAATCACTTTATATTTATTCTTACTAGATTGATAAAGCAAGGAAAACCTACTGAAAAATATTGTTAATTAAAAACCTACAAAAGAGGACAATTAGCTATGATATGTATAATTTAGCCAAACATATTGAAAATTTGAACAAAAGTTTTGCATCCCACTCCACCTAGTAAATTGTATAGAAAATTCAGGAAACTAGGCACTAATTTAAATCAATTTAGAGAGATGAAACCTTGAAACATTAAAAATCGGATAAAGAAGAAATCCTTTACCATTGGGAAATAGAAGGGAATTGAATAGTCTTCCGTCTTCTATTTTAGAGATAAAATGTGTATAGTACATTGGGATGGGGGGGGGGGGGGGGCTTAAATAGGTATTGGAGCAGGACTAAATGAAATAAAGCATGGAATTCAAATGTTACTGAAATGTTTCAGGACTGTGTGCTGGTTCAGACCAAAGAGATGTCATTAAAATCAGAAGATGCTGAGAGAGTATTTGGTACTGATGCTTATAATGCAGTTGCATCAACAGGTAAGTTAATGCCAGGGATTATGAGAATGAAAACACCATTCTTTCATTTATAGTATGCGCCAAATCGCTTCCAAAGTGGCTTAGTTAGTCTAAACCGATGTTGAGGTAGATTACTAAGAAGTGGCCCATAGTCATTAAAGATTGGTTCATTGACTTTTCATTTTCACTTGTCTGCAGTTAAAATGGTGACACGAAAGTGCTAAACGGCTTGCCCCAAGGTGCAACCGTCAAAAATATGAGTTTTAAAAAATTCATGTTTTTCAAATAATAGCAGTGAGTATATGAAATAGGAGGCATATTTGATATTGATATGTATGATAGTCTATTTGGGTGTGGTCATTTTTTATTAAAAACAACAATGGTGAAGAATTATACATTACTGACCTTGAAATGCCATTTTAATTCAAAAGTCACTGTTGCTAATGATAATATTCCTATTTTACTTATTCAATGTTTTCTAAATGTTTCAATTACCATTATGTTAGTTTTTGGCAAAGTAAATAATTATAGGGGTCACACAAGGATCCACTTTATTTAGAACTTTTTCATATTTAGTGATGATTTCAAAAAATACCAAGTTTAACACAATTTTGTTTGTTAAATATTAAATAGAATGATGGTATTGTGTTTGTTTTATTGTTTCAACAAAAAAATCGCAATTCATTGCTCTTGCAATTAGAGCTACAGGGCATATACAAGTTCAAAAAGTCTTCAATAAAGTTGATCCTTGTGTGAGCCCTATGATTATTTACTTTGCCAAAAATGAATATAACGATTATTCAGATATATAAAAATCCTTTAATGTTAAATAGGAATACAATGATTGACTTTTGAATAAAAAGGCATTACACATGTACACATGTAGTTGTTGCAGTAAAATTACCACACCAAAGTAGACTATCTTTCCATATTAATATCAAATGGGCCTTCTATTTGCATTTTACTGAAATTATTTGTAACAAAAGTTTATTGTTTTTGTTCACCGATGTTTGTCAGAGTGATACCTGTAGCAGCTGCACTCGACTGATATGCAACAAGATATATGTGAGCTTTCATTGCAACATTTACATTTAGAACAGTTACAATTTTACTTAGTCTGATAGAAAATTAAATAACTGAATTATATTTCTTTGAGTTTATTCAATTTGAACATTACTTTTACAATACAGATACCTTCGTTTTGAAACATAAGCAGTAATTAAATTTTCAAACGGTCAGTTTTCAACTTTGAATGTTTCATTTTTGTTCAAAAGTGTATTCTACAAAAGTCAAGGTCATTTTAAGGTAAAATGTCAATATTTAGGTAGTTGGCTAAACCAATGATTAGGTGACCTGAAGTCAAGGTCTGAATAGATCAAGGTAATTTTGAGGTCAAAGGTCAATATCTAGCAAGTTGACATGAGAACAATTGTGACCTTTGGCGACCAATGATAAGGTGATTTCAAGGTAATTTCAAGGTCAAAGGTCAATATCTAGGTCATAGGTAGTTGGCTACTGTGGGTCTTCAGTAACATTTGATCACCAAAGATAAAGTGACCTCCGGTCAATGTCACTGTTTTATGGCTCAAGGTCATCTCAAGGTCAGAGGTCAATATCTGAATATTTGGCATTTTGGGGATGCTGCTTCATGTGAGGACCCATTGATATGTGTTCTGAGGTCAAGGTCATTTAAACAAGGTCAAAATCTCTGTATTTGGCGTTTTGAGGCCCTGGGGGCTGCTATGACCCTTGGCAACTCATGCTAAGGTGACATGAGGTCAAAGTCAATATCTATGGTTCAAAATTATAATAAAGTCAAAGGTCAATATCTAGGTTGTTGGCTCGTTTGAGGCTACATTGACATTTGATCACCAATGATAAAGTGACCTGAGATCAGTGTCATTGTTATAGGTCAAGTTCAGAGATCAATATCTTAATATTTGGCGTTTTGGGGCGGCTGCTGCACTTGGCTCCATTGAAACGTGACCTAGGGTCAAGGTCAATCTAAGGTCAAATTTCAATATCTTAGTGTTTGGCGTTTTAAGGCCACAGGGGCTGCTGTCGTGATGTGGCCCTTGGCGACTCATGATAAGGTGACACGAGGCAGTCATCATTTAATGGTTCAATTCAAGATCATCTCAAGGTCAATATCTAGGTATTGGTGTTTCAAGGCACTCGGGGGTTGCTGTGACGCTTGGTGACACATAACAATGGTGACACATTTCAATTGACATTTCAAAAGTAATACTCGATCATTTCTGTTTTATCATATTAATTTTAATAAAATTTGCCAATTCGAAGTGAAATTATAACAGAAGAGAGGTTATCCAAATATGAGGTCATATTAATGACTGCACTCAGTAATCTTCAGTCAAGCTGACGGAGTTTTTCATGAAAGAGTTACTTTCTGTTGTGGTTTTAAATTGAATAAGTATAAGCAGGTGCATTTTCAAAAATGCAAATTTAAAGCAAATTTCGCAAAATTTAGTTATTGATATATAGAGATAGTCCATTACTAGGGTTTGTTTATTCTCTTAAAAACAATTATGGTACAAATTTGGTACTTCTGACTATATAATGCTTTTTTATTCAGAAGTCAATTATATTATTCTTATTTTGACTATCAAATGATTTTCATATATCCGAATAACCGTTATATTAGTTTTTGGCAAAGTAAATAATAGTAGGGATCACACAAGGATCAACTGTATTGAAGGTTGGTCATACTGGTATATGCCCTGCCGCTCTAAGATCAAGAGCAATGAATTGTGATTTTTCAGTTGAAACAGGGAAACAAACACATTATCATTAATTTGTTTAACATTTAACAAATAATTTTCAGTTAAACGTAGTAATTTTTCAAAATATCACTAAATATGAAAAAGTTGTAAATAAAGTGGATCCTTGTGTGAGCCCCATTATTATTTACTTTGCCAAAAATGAATATAATGGTAAGTGTAATATATAGAAAACATTGAATAGGTAAAATAGGAATATAATTAATAACAACCGTGACTTTTGCATTAAATGGCATTTTAAGGTCAGAAATGTATAATTCTTCAATATTATTGTTTTTAATAAAAATGACCACACCCAAATGGACTATCATACATATCAATATCAAATCTGCCTCCTATTTCATATATTCGCTGCTATTATTTGAAAAAAAAGATTTTTGTCAAACTCATCTTTTTGCCGGTTGCACCTTGGGGCAAGCCGTTTAGCCCTTTCGTGTCACTTTTTTGAGTGCAGACAAGTAAAAATGAATAGTCAATGAACCAATCTATAATGACTATGGGTCAAATCATAGTAACCTACCTCAACATCAGTTAATGGGATTTTCTGGAGTTTTGGCGCACACTATTAGTACACATTTGTATTTACACAATTTGCATATATTGTATGTTACCATGTTTTATGGATTAATAACCCATCTTCTTAAGTGGCAATGGTGAAAAGTGAATTCCAAGCAATATACCAATAATATATGGAACAACATCTCAACTGATAAGATTAAACACGTTTATACTAGATTATACTAAGTTAAATTACGCACCGGCGTTCATTAATCAATCTGCTGTATCAATTTTTATGTTCTTCTTTATCTTTGAAAGGCAGTCAACAACATGGACCCTGTTTCTTGAAAGTCTTGATGATTATGACTTGTAATTGAAATGTTACTATTGGTAAAATAGTGAAAAAATGTTTCCTTTAAGATGAAAACTAGTACATGTAGTGTCAATTACGAGGTGTCTTTTTGGTGTCAAGGAAAAAGCATGAGTTCTCTTATCATTTGACTCTTTTAAGTCCTACTAAGTATACAATGGTGGTAATGTTTTAATTCTTCCAGCTCCAGTAATATGGTGAGTACAATTCTCCAATATTAACTCTTTCAGGTCCAGTGATTGGCTTTGAGTACAATTCTCCAATATTAACTCTTTCAGGTCCAGTGATTGGCTTTGAGTACAATTCTCCAATATTAACTCTTTCAGGTCCAGTGATTGGCTTTGAGTACAATTCTCCAATCTTAACTCTTTCAGGTCCAGTGATTGGCTTTGAGTACAATGGTGATGGTGTGGTAGAGCGGTGCCAGGAACAAGTGGTGACTGTATCACAGGGAACAACAGGGATGGTTTTCGTCAGCCAGAATCATAAACTTGCTGCTCAGCAGATAGACAACTTTTATAACTTTGCTGAAATGCAGATGGCGGTCTAGGCAGATGATAAATAATCATGTTAACCCTGTCTAATAGGGGCTAAATGGATCAGTTAATGATGTGTCACAACATGCACATCCTTATAGAGCTGGTTTGACCCGTTTTGACATTGTCTAAAATGCATTTGTGCACAGAAGGGGCAACTACATACAGCTAAACAAAATTGCAAGATCACATATGAAAGTGCTCCTATATCAGCCCTGATAATTTATTAAACTGCATAGAAAGAGAAATTTTACATGTGAGCTACACTGAAATATTATGAAGTTATGCTACATTGAAAAGGAGTCAATATATTCACATGTAGTTGAGCTGCATTGAGTTAATACTACATTGAAATGTGTGTAGTTATGCTGTATTAAAATATGAAGCTAAGCTGCATTGAAATATTGAGTTATGCCATGTATGCTGCATAGAGTTCACTGATTATTTATGCCTATAAACTACATTAGAGTTATCCTTGAACTTTCACCTTGGAAGTTTGGCTCACACAGATGGCATTTGCTAAAACCAAATAAAACTAAATGCCTTGTGCATTTAAACATAAAATAATGGTCACAACTTAAATTAAAAATATAAAAAGGGGGCAATGTTTAAGATTGAATTTCATATGCTGTATCTGTGTTTCTCAAGAGATGGTCTTTGTAATACTTAGGCGCCATCTTTTTATGATCAGTGTTATATCTAGAGCTTTCATTTTGAATAAACATTGTACACTATCACGCCCGGTGATCGTGAATATGGGACGGAGGGGGGGGGAGCAGGCAATTTCTGCTAGGAAATTCAACAAATCTGGAAGATTTATTTTTTCAAGAAAAAGTTTACTATTGAATTGCTAAATGGATAGGCGCATGGTATGGTAGAATATGTTAGGTTTTCTGGGATTTTTTCTGAAACGATACGCATCTAAGGTATGAGATCTATTAAAAAAGGCGCAAGGCCATCAACAGGCACAAATCAATGTTTTTGCTATAAATCAAGCAACAATGGACTACACGACCTGTAGTAAATACTTGTAAGTGATGTTATCATAACTAAATTAATGTCATTGCTGAATTTATAAAATAAGTTTCCATACGTAAAATAAAAAATAATCGAAAACAAGAATTCGTGTGAAGTTGTTTCACTTTATAGAATTATTACTCCCCCCCTCCGTCCCCTCCCCCCCTCCGTCCCAAATTCATTATTTTCGATTAATTTTTATTTCACATATGGAAACTTATTTTATAAATTCAGCAATGACATTAATTTAGTTATGATAACATCACTTACAAGTATTTATTACAGGTCGTCCAGACCATTGTTGCTTGATTTATAGCAAAAACATTGATTTGTGCCTGTTGATGGCCTTGCGCCTTTTTTAATAGATCTCATACCTTAGATGTGTATCGTTTCAGAAAAAATCCCAGAAAACCTAACATATTCTACCATACCGTGCGCCTATCCATTTAGCAATTCAATAGTAAACTTTTTCTAGAAAAAATAAATCTTCCAGATTTGTTGAATTTCCTAGCAGAAATTGCCTGCTCCCCCCCTCCGTCCCATATTCACGATCACCGGGCGTGACTATACTAGTGAAACATTACTGTGCAAACCTTTGATGGGCAGTGTACTTTCATCATCAACTTTAAGATGTAGTATGGCCTATGTACAATAAAAAGAAAAAGAGAATCTCTCAGTTTGATGATCACAAAAATATGTTACTAGATGTGTATAAATTTTCATATCAGTAATTTAATATGTAAATTCTGTAATTGTAACTAGAATTGTATTTTTGAAAAAGTCCCAAGTGGTATGGAAACTTAGAATGCAATATTCAAGTGCTTTAATTCAACATAATGCAATATGGAGGAGATTGAATAATAAGTACTTTATTGTCATTTGTTGTATGATAAAAGTGTATTGTATTTAATACATGTAGTTGGATGTGTATTGTAATCAGAATTTCTCATAGAATATGAGTATGCCTCTAGAATCAGTTTATGTATAAATATACATGTGCTTTAAAATAAGCCAATTCAGAACCTGCTCACTCATTTCTGCTAGAAGGTTAGGAGCTTCTGCATTTATTTAAGGAACTAGACATTTTGATGTTGTCTGTATTGCTCATACATAATCTCATTTTTGTAAGGAATGAAAGAATAGTAATACAAAAGAAAGGTATGATATATTGGCCTGAATAAATACTGAATGAAAAAATACTATACAGTGGCCTGAATAAATGATAAATGGAAACCTTATGACTCGGTACTATGTAGATTTTCTATATCGATTCTTTGAATCTATGTGTGCTGTATGAGTACATAGAACAAATGTGAGTGAGGCTTTAGTATTCTAGAGATTGTACAATCTATGTATTCAAAAGATTGGTATTGATGGAATGTTCAAATTGAGTTGACACATTATGTTTTCGTGACTTTTTTCATTCATTCAATATCAATTTTTTAAATGATTTAATCAAGATAAATATTCGCTTTTCCGTCCTTAGCTCAGTATTTGACAGCATTTGTGGATGAATGAGCCTAAAAGATTTCCGAGTATGTTGAATATGTTTGTTGTTTATTTTTGCCTTGTTTTGTTCTAAAATAGTAGAACAAGGTGTTGGTACACATGACAGCTAACTGAGTCTAATACCGAAGCCTCATTATGAATCTAGAACTGTAGAATCTAGAACTGAATATTTGTTCGCAAAAATGTATGTCAAGGAGAATTAGTAATCTGGCTAACACAGAAAGAGAAGTGCACACTGAAGTCAAATGGGTGATTTGTTCAGAAGATGTTCTACCTAAAGACTCATTCATTCACAAAAACTGCCCATTACTGACTTAATATTACATTTGTATTGAATGTTGTATATTAAATAGATTTTATTATTTTTATTTAAGTAAATCATGTAAACTTTACACTGATATTCAGATATTATTTTACACTATTTTGATGTCTGTGGTATTAAATAAGTAATAAGTAAATATACATGGTGTCCCTTGGGGTAAAGTACATTTTGACACCCTGTAGATTGTAAGTTATATGTATGTATTGTACGTGATCAATGGTAATATAAAAACAAATAGGGTATGCTTTAACTGTACCCTATTCATACTTTCAACAGTCCAGAAACACTGTGGGTTCCTCAACCACAACTACAGTAAAACCTGTAAAGTGGAATACCTCTGTTACAAGGTGGAACACCTTCATGAGTCGAACATTTCAAACTCTTAGATTTTACATTTGAAAGCAAGACTGTGTTACATTTTACCCATTTTGTATTAATATAATCCCACCATGTGGCAATCACAATTATTGATTTTAATGTGACAATTGGTATGGATGTACCTATGAATATTTTAAAATAAAACTGAGATGAATGTGCTTGAATGCAGAAGTTTTGTTCATATCATTGAACATTGGCAAAAGTAATTTGATTTGTTTACTTAATTCAGTAACTCCTAAAACACTTTTCCACACCAATTTGACGCCAGCAGACTAACACTTTGAGGTAAATCATATGATTTTTTGTCAACTATGTTCACTGTTCCCAACTGGTTATAAAGACATTTAGCTTTATAAAATAATGGATGAATTTTCTGTTGGAAAAAATTTATACGATTTTGTATTTTCATCACTTTCACCATTAAAGAGATTGATTTGTATCCAAATATGTTACCCGAATGTTAAAAGTAACATCCTGTACTGAAAAGCTAGTCAGTCTCTAGCAAATATATTCAGCAGCTCGAATAATTGAGTGAGAATTCCGTCACTTCAGCAACCAGGACGTTATCTGTTGAATTTCATTACGTCTTGGTTGCGTTCTGTTAAATTAATGTCCTATTTGCTAAAGCAAGGGGTTTCTCACTCGATTATTAGAGCCCATGTATATATATATATACTCCTGACTGATTCGCTTTTTCGTAACTGGATGTTACTAGTAAAGGTACGTTCACACCAACGGCGCTTTGATGGCGCTTTAAAGCGGCTTGTAAAGCGGCACCAAAGCGTAACAAAGCTTAATTAAAGCGTTGGGGTCGTAATAGGTCGTAGAAAAGCTCGGAAGTAAAGCTGGATATTCGGCAAGAGCGCTAAAAAATTTAAACTGTTTAAGCGTTCGCACCAACGGCGCTTTGATGGCGCTTTAAAGCGGCTTGTAAAGCGGCACCAAAGCGTAACAAAGCTTGATTAAAGCGTCGGGGTCGTAATAAGTCGTAGAAAAGTTCGGAGTAAAGCGGAATATTCGGCAAGAGCGCCAAAAAATGTTAAACTGTTTAAAAAATTTGGGCGTTCTGTTACGAATTGCTTAAAGCGCCGTGAGCGTATCAAAGCTTAAAAAACCATAACAAAGCTCAGCAAAGCTTGACCCAAAGCGTAGGAAAGCTTAACAGAGTTTGGTTTAAAGCGGGGACCCCAGTCTCTTCACGGTCTGTTATCACTGTACACGCTTCGTTAAGATGCCTCAGGATTTGTTACGATCTGGCATGAAGATCTGACACAAGGTCAGACGCTTTCATCAATATCTGACACTCTTTGTTACGCTTTCATGAAGGACTCTCAAGCTTTCCAGCAAATTGAGACGCTTACATCAGGAATTGAAACACTTTGTTAGGCTTTGTTACGCTTGACAAGCTTCCTCATGCTCTCTCACGCTCTTTCACGCCGTGCGTCAAACGTCATGTCTTATTCAGATAGGTCATGCTCTGGTCCATCTGGAATTTCTGGATCTTGTTGTTCTGCCATCGTGTTCTCGAGTCAAAGATGCAATGGTTTTATGGATCTACTGCATCTTTATATAGTCATTGGATCAAAAGCGGCATGAAATCGGCGATCTCGACATTTTCCAATGCGTGACAGAGCTGAACAGAGCGTAATAACAATGCACAACAGAGCTTGACAATCGTATCAGAGCCTGATTCAAAGCGTCATAATCGCATCAAAGCGTAATAATGCTTATCAAAGCATGGTTTCAAGCGTAACAAAGCCTGGTCACAGCGTGAGGAACCTATCAGCGCTATGTTAAGCTTTCCTACGCTTTGGGTCAAGCTTTTCTGAGCCTTGTTACGGTTTGTTCAAGTTTGATACACTCTCGGCGATTTAATCAATTCGTAGCAGAGCGCCCAAAATTTTTAAACAGTTCAAATTTTTTTGGCGCTCTTGCCGAATATCCCGCTTTACTCCGAGCTTATCTAAGACCTATTACGACCCCACCGCTTTAATCAAGCTTTGCTACGCTTTGGTGCCGCTTTACAGGCCGCTTTAAAGCGCCATCAAAGCGCCGTTGTTATGAACAAAAATGACAAAAGTGACGGCGCTTTGTTCGCCGATTTAAAGCGTGGCATTCGCCGTTGGTGTGAACATAGCTTGGTAAAATATTTGGATACAAATCAACCTCTTTTTGGTGAAAATGATGAAAATAAAATTTCCTCCTATGGAAGTTCATCTTCCTATAATCCATGCATTTTGGTCATCCTACCCTTGTACAGCAATCCTGGAGGTATAAAAGTTTAACAGTAGGCCTTTACATACTACAGTGAGCTAAGACACTGCAAGCTCACAAAAGGAGCAGGTGGACATGACCTGTGTACTAAAAGAATGAAATGCTCCGTATATGGTACATATACTGGCAACTGATTTTACAGTTGATTCAACAGTGATAATATCACACTACAAACAACCAAGAGTTAATAATTATGTTCTCATAGAATTTATTTACAATAATTCCAATCAGGGATAACCTACAACAATGTCATTTCACTGAAATCATTTTGAAATCTGGATGAATTGACCAGACAGCTCAATGATTTTATTCTGCACTTTTTCTAACTATGGTACATGTATGTCCTAAAATACAAAATATTGGCACAAACAATATAAATAAATATTTTATACACTTATAAATGTGTGATACACTCTTAAACTATATTCTATATTAGACTGAAATGCATCTAATATTGCTTCATGGTTAACTATGGCTAATAGCATTGATGGCAAATATTCAAATTATCCTACAATGAAGATAATCTGATTTTGGGGCAGCACATTACTTTCATATACGAGGGTAATTCTGTAAGTTGCATTCAAATGTTCTTGCAAAAATCAAGATGAAATTTTATTTATTGAACATTCCTCATTTGCTTGGTATAGTGCACATGGAAATCATAAATACATGTCTTCTCAATACTGTTACTGAGTTAGGCCAAACATTCTTACATATTAACTTAATCTTTATTCTTAGAACAAAAGTCTTCTACATCAGGTGTGAAGAGGTCATTTTGTGCTATAAATGGAATCCATGGATGGTGTCACTGTTCAGGATAATGCCATTCTTCCACATATCCAAATGATGCCCATTGCCTCCCAGTGTAGCCTCACATAGCTCTACTAAACAAACTTCATAATTTTATAACTTTTTACAGCAATAACATACATGACTTGCGTGAATACAAATGTATAACAGTAAACAGGAGGATAAAATCAGAAACTTCTTCAACATATTTTTACCTCAATTGCCATGATGAATTCATGGTTGTACTAATAAAGAAAAGGCCATCTCTTATGACACTGATAATAATGCACATTAGTGACAAATGTGGCAAAATGGTGTGCTGTATATGAATGGACTAAAAGATGGCAGATCACGAGGTTGCTTGCCCTTCAAATGCCAAGAGGGGGTGATATCCCAGCATTCATAGAGGTCTATTTGTTTGTGTATAGATCTTGATAAACTTCAAATATGCAGCAAACGAATCAAAATTCTTTTATTGATGATTTTTAAGTATTATTTACATCTTTACCACCTACAATACTATCCATTGAACTTTACGCCATCTACTTGCACTCTTATAACCCAGTGTATTTTGCGCCACCTATAAACGGTCCTTAATAACATTGTATGTTTGTAATTTTGAGGTTTTTTGGGTTACTCAAGGCTGCAAAAATCAAATTACACCTACAGTAAAGAATATTAAGAAAATGAATGTATTTTTGTGTTTGATCATGTTTTAATATCAAATATCATGACCACAAACATTGATTTATTAAAATGTGAAGAAGGCGATCTCCTTCTTCCTGAAGCACACCTTTGATGTGTGCAATTTCATTTGCAAAGAATAACGCATTTTACTTAATTGCTCATTTCTGTTTTTGTATGTGGGAGAGAAAGATAATTTGTAGATTAATGTAACTGATTCTTACAGCGTCCTATAGTTGGTTTACATTGAAAATGTTGATATTGTCCCCTAGAGCCATGTTATTATTTTCTTATTATGCTGAAGACATAAAAAAATTTTTTTTGAAATCATGTAATGATATAAAACATTGCGGCCGAAGTAACAATAATAAGAACGTAAAGTAATTGAACAAAATGGATATTGTTCTCATTAAGTTATCTTTTCAATTTGGCAGTTATGGTAGATTATTGTAGCCTGATAATCTCCTCTGGGTATAACTTAGTATACCAACTTAGGGGAACTGACACCATAGATCTAACTATTAGCTCTAAAATTATATTCTAATTAAATTACATTGTATATGTACTATCAAACTACATATCTGCTCCAATTGGGTTTATTTGCCTTATTGCAAATTATTGGCTCCGATATATGTAAATAGACCTCACTTCATTATATGCTTTATAAACTTCAGTGCCATTTGAAATGTTTCTTCACCATCTAAGCTTATCTGATTGTATCCACCTGAAAACTATTTCACACATTCAAATTTGGCAAATCAAAATTGTGAAACTAAGAATTGTACACTCACTTCAAGAACAAATCCTGGAAAGAACCACTGCTATAGAAACCTATAATTTTTTTCTTGAGTTGATGTGATTAATATATTTTCCAAATAAGATACAGTATTTTATTCTGTAATGAACCATACGATAGCATTCTTTATCATACAAATTTGTACCATACCCTCATAGCATTCTGTACAATACCATTCTGTGGCATACAGTGCTGTTCATATTGGCTTCAAGAACCTTCCTTCATCAGTATCAGAGTTTAGTTTTACCCATCAACAGTGACACGTTACAAGAGTCTACAATTATGCGTTCTAGGGTTTTGTAATGATTCACCATCTGTGAGTATTCCCAATCACTATTCTGTGGACATCCAAGCCTTAATGAACTTAATTAGATCTCAGCTTATTCACTAACAACTAAGACCTGAACATGTCTCTATATAGACCAGAGATATAACTAATAGGCCTAACCATTCACTTAAAATATGTCAGCATTTTTTCTTTGAAATTTTATGTTGAAAATAAATCAATAAATAATATCATTTAAGTGATGGATGGAAACACCTCTGATGTTTTTTTGATATATAATTTTCATGGCTCTTATCAATAGAGACACGTGGAAGCCTACTATCAACGATATCACACAAGTTCTCCCTGGTTTGAATCATTTCCAACTGTCCCATCAGCTTCAGTAGTTTTACTTCCCTGATCATCTTTGTTTTCTTGATCATCATCCTCCTCATCATCATTTTCCATTAACTGTCTTGCCATTTTAATGGCATAATACTCATTATAATGCATTTTTCTTTTTTCTTTGAATTTTGTCTTGGCAGCTGAAAATGAAGACACTTCAGTAATCATACAGTGAACAGCATAAATATAATCTACATATATTTTGGTTGATATAAAACACTCTCAATGCAACAAAATCACCTTTTGGGATCAGCTTGTGGTAATATATGCTAAACATAAATAAACATACAACAGATTTTGAATAAAAAGCTCCAAACAGCTAGAAAGTGTTCTCTCAATAAGGAATGATATTAGTTAACAAGGCATTAACATGAAAAAGTGTCACCACCAGGAATTGGAAGTTTGGAAAACTTTGTCACAGACACAGAATCCTGAACACCAACCACCTATCAACCACTGAATACTGAAACCATCCACAAATGTATGTCATCACTTTTGGTGGTGGCATAATAACTGCAACGTTACCTTTTTGATCTTCTGTTAATACTTCTGGTTCTTCATCTGAAGACTCTTCATTCTCTGAAGCATTACGTCGAGGACTTTTTTCTTCTAACCTGAAAATATAAGATTATACTTTTAATGGACATGCATGTCTAAATAGACTCTTTTAAGTGAACACCTTCTTTAATGAAGACACCAGCTTGTGAGCATCTTCTTTATAGGGAACACATTCCAAACTAAGTCTATCTCCTCTGAATACCTTGTCTCGTGAACACCTTCTTCCGTGAGCATCTCCTTTAGGGAAAACATTCTCAACTAAAACCTTCTCAAGTTAATACATTCTCTTGAGTACCTTCTCTACAAACACCTCTTTAGTGAGTATCTTTGACTTTGTTGAGCAAACAACTTCTCAAACAAACACCTTCTCTACTGAAGTGTTTATAACCATAAGCCTTCTTTTTCCTCCAACACAATTTCCTCCAAACAGTGCTCGTGATATTCACAAATTTTCTTATATTCAGAGTGAATGATCTATTAGAATGTAGACTCAACTTGCACATTAATTAGATTTTCTTTCACAATGTTGTTATTAGATAAGAGAAGCTAATTTCCTTATTTACTGCACATCTGGAATAATTAATACTTCAATTTTTAGATTCTACAATGATATTGATGACTGGTAATGTCATGTCATATTATAATGCCCATCTAAAAATAATACAGTGGCCATGATTTAAAAAAATGAAATGAGTGCATTGAGCTTAGAATACAGACAATTCATTCAAATGTTAGAGAGAGAGAAATCTCAGAATACTTGTATTAGCAGAACAGTCTTGAAGCAAGCCCATGTGGCTCATATACCCCAATACAAACAAGCAGAATGATATAAACTTAAAGGGGATCGAAGCAGAACAAGATACAACTGAAAAATACTTCTCCATTGGTGACTGTCTCTTTCAATGATGTAAAGTTAAATTAATACAAATTGTAACATGAGGCAAGCATTCACTGGTCCAGTGAATTTTACAAATGACATTACCACAATTGGTAACACATAAATGACACAACCATTGGTAACACATAAATGACACAACCATTGGTAACACATAAATGACAAAACCATTGGTAACACATAAATGACCCAACCATTGGTAACACATAAATGACCCAACCATTGGTAACACATAAATGACACAACCATTGGTAACAAATAAATGACAAAACCATTGGTAACACATAAATGACACAACCATTGGTAACACATAAATGACAAAACCATTGGTAACACATAAATGACCCAACCATTGGTAACACATAAATGACCCAACCATTGGTAACACTTTAATGACACAACCATTGGTAACACTTTAATGACACAACCATTGGTAACTGGAAAATAAGTCAAGTTTGTCTTGCATCAATCTCAAAGGATAGTTGTCTCCGAAACAACAGAATCTCCAAACATAATTGAATCGATTCCTACCAGGGTGGAGTGTCTTTTTTCACATTAGCCCTTAGCATAGGATTTAATCCTGTTTTCAGTTTAACTATTAGATGCTAAGTAAAAATATGGATAATAAAAATGAACTGCAGAAATTCCCAACTGTGCAAATCATTCAGACAATATGTCGTATATCATTTTTATGGATGTCGATTAATTTCATAAAGTCACTTCATTTGAGAATAATATAAAGTCATTCAGTCTTGTAGTCTGTAGTCAGAGGATGCTCACGGCAAAGCTTATATTTATTTATGACATTACATCGTATGGTAATTTTTCTACTTGTTTGGTGTGTATGGACTTGTTGTTATATTTTCATGGAAACTGTAAACTTGAGCAAGTTTAAAAGTAATAGATCAGACCAAAGTCAGCTAGAGAGAGATTTTCAAAATAGATAAACAATAAAAAGTTCATAAATGGATATAATTTACATTATGATTCTCATCACATTTTTATCTTTTCAAATTAACAATCCTTGTGTGATATCTAGTGATGTAAATTTTTGCAGAATATCAATTGTTAATAATATATTGTTAAAGATTGTTCTGTATATGATACTTTCTCCGAGATTCACCTGTTTTATTTATATGCATATAGCACAAAAACACTGATTAATATGCTACTTTTGATCATATCTGTTGGAATTAATGTCACATATTCTGATTTGATATACTGAACATTTATCAGGCTTTATTTCACAGATGTATTTTTCTCACCATCTCATCAAACAGCTAATTATCATTGCATACAGTTATTAATCTGAATACAGTAAAACCTGTCTTAATGAACAACTCTCTCTAGCGAACAACTGTGTCTAGTAAACACCCTTTTTCTGCACATACTCTATTGACTTCTGTATAGATTACCCTCTCTGTAGTGAACACCTAATAACACTGAACTTTTTTTTTCGGCTAAAAATGCTTAATATACACAGGTTCTACTGTTGGTGTTTCAGGCCTTTTAACATTTTCTGTATATTTTCAGAAAATTCAGAATGAGTAATATGCCACCACTGACCACTCTTCTTCAAACTTGACATTTAATGAATAAGGGAGCATCTCAAAAGTTTAATATAGGATTATGAACTGTATTTGAACATTTAATCTGTTATCTCTCTCAAATTAAAAATGAAATGAATCAAATTAAAGAAAAATAAATCCTAAGATTTTCGACCAGACTTTTTTTCTTTGTGGATTGATTTACTGATAGACAACTCGTTCGCCGCATTCATAATAAGCGTATAACCGACCAAAAGTGTGAATATCTGATAAGCGCATGACAATACAGTCTCCTGGGGAGCCTCAAAGTAAAAATGTATATTATGATTGAACTGCGCATGCGCTGTATCAATTAGCCGATGTCTTCCCGTCAAAACTTTTAAACTTTGTTTATCAAATTAAATGGTGACCTAAACACACGGTAAGTTGCTTGAGAGTTTGTGCTCACCCCAATATCGGCGATTATCGACAATGGATTTCATTGCCGGTAATTGAGAGTATCTACTGCCGCTGCCGACAATCCGGCATTACCGTAACGCACTACGACCACTCTTCTTCAAACTTGACATTTAATGAATAAGGGAGCATCTCAAAAGTTTAAAATAGGATTATGAACTGTATTTGAACATTTAATCTGTTATCTCTCTCCCTCTCCCTCATACCTGTTTAAGAGATGTTGATATGCGTTATTGAGTTAAGTCAAACCATATCCAGCAACATTTGAGAGTAATATTTCTAAGAACAATGTCAGAAAGGTAACTTTTGAGGCTAATGACCACCTCCCCTATTTAGTGTTCAAATCGAGTTAATTTTCTGACATTAATCTTTTGAAATGCTCCTTTAGAGTATAAAATTGAATGTAAATACATTACTGTATACTAAAATCTCACCTATTTAGAAGAGTTTCAGGGTCTAAACTTATTTTTTTGCCATCTGCGCTATCTCGTCTTTTTTGTTTTGTCCCATCTGTGACATCGTCATCTTCTATGACATCATCATCCTCAGGGTCATAATCATTATAGGGTGTAGGGGGTTCATCAATCTTCATGTGGCCATAGTCTTTATCAGGTGGGTGGTGAGTGGCAAGTATATTCATCTCATCCCATTTTGCTTCTTTGTTTGTGGGATGGACAACTTTAGCGCTGGAATATACAAGATTTATACATACAGCATTAAATACTTGATTAATCACTATGTTCCCTCTTTTCTCTTCCTGCTAATAAATCTTCATGGACTTATTAACTACATGCAAAGGGGACACCTCCATAAAAATAACACTTTTTCAATGTTTTACCTATTAACTTACAGATTTTAGCTTTCTATATGGAAAACCTTCCTAGTAAAGTGAAATTGCTTTTATAAAGGTCCTGTGAAAGTATATAAATCTTTGCTGATTGGAACACTATTTTGATATATGAACGGTGTTCTACTTATACAGTTTATACCATAGTTGATCGCACATATTTAGCTATAACAGTTATTAGACCTGGTCACAGTTTCAAAGCTAAAGCTCAAATTCACATTTATCCCATTCATAATATTCTCATTATTGGTCTTGTTTCTGGGCTGTCCTCCCCTCTTACTCTAAATATGCAGCTACAATACTACATGTACACCTCAGACCTAAAAAAGCAGTAGAATGTTGACCATTTTATAATTTGACATTAAGACAAAATGTAAACAATGCAAAACTTGACATAACAAGTATGTGCTTAAATTTTACTATTTCAGGAATTACGCCCAAATTGACATCCAAATTACATCCAAATATGAAGTCAGTCTGACATATTGTATTTGATCGCAACATTAAATATTACAACAGATGCCAGACATTGTGTTGATAACAATAATAGAGCACTTTAGAATGATAGAGAAACAAAATTAAAGCTAGCAAAACTACGATTTTTACATTATTCTATGACATGATTTCTATTGTGTTAAAATATTTGTCATCTGTGTTATTGTTTAATTCCATTGTTTTTAAAAGTCAATGTGTTTTAGTGTGAGATCTAATTACACTGGTATTCAAATGGAAACGGGTAACCCAAATTCTAATTCTTGATCAAAAGATTATATAATTGTGTCAAGCCTGGGTTGAAAAATAGGCTTTTATGTGAATGTCCCTTCAAACCTGGTAGAAGTGAAATTAAAGGAACTAGAAGGGATAGAGAATGTAAAATATTAAAAGCAATATTTTCAAAAATCATGTCAATGTTTTCCTTACAGTTCTAATTTAATTTTCTGAAAAAAAACAATTCAGAGGCTACCTTATGAAATGTAGAAGTTCTTGAAGATTTAAGATATGTAGAAATGCCCCAATACACTGAGTTAATTTGGACAGATAACTTGAAGGATTAAACAATTTTCATGAAGAAAAGTCAGAATTGTTGGACTATGAAAAACACATAACATGAAATAAGAGAAAAATTATATTGTAAAATTGTCACCATTGTTTCAAACTTTAATACCTCTCAACTCATCTCCATTTAATTCTTTATATGTTAATTAATAGTCTCACTTCCCAAGCTCTAAGTAAATATTATTTAGCTCACTTAGAGGATCATGTCAGTAATATTTTAGACGAAAAGTAGGAAGTATTTATATTCGATCATGAAATGTCAATGAGAGGATTACAAGTCATTTCCCTGAATTTAATCTCAGTTACATCATTAGTTCAAAGTAACAACAATTATGTGCTTATAATTAATGACTTAATTCTCTGGAGCATGTATAATCTATAGTAATATTTCACACTCTCAATAACTGATACATCATCATCAAATTATTGGCATCACTGAACTTTAGCTAAAATACTGATGATATCTGCACACTAGAAGGCTTCATACAATACCCATGTCTGTAATTTCACTATAATGTCTATTTTATTCAATTTCTTGATATATTGTGCTTGAAGCGCCTAATGTTCTTGACTTTCTATATAATTTGGAATATTGACCACATTCCTGTTTACTTCATTCCTTGTTTTTTCCACTCTTTTCAACTCTATTTTGCATTTCAATACACCACTATCAGAAGCTTTGTTCAAGGATACTTTGTAACTTGATTAATAGAGCTCATTGGATGTACTGACAGCCTCATCTCTATTGGGATTCTCACATAATGACAATATATTGTGAAGAACTGAGAGAATGAGTGAGAAGCAGTTTTTTCAACGAATAAAGGATTTGTGGCCTCTATACTAACATGGTGAACTACTACCAATAATGACTTTTCATTAGAAATCAGAATCGCTGCTTGGAAACCAAGGTGACTTAGAAAATGGGGATGACAGGTCAAAAATGGAACAAAAACTACTATCGAAGTGAGCAATATGTCACGTCATAGTGGTGGTCAAGAATGCATTTACCGACCGGTCGAGAATACATTTAATGACCGGCAATTTTCCCCGGGAAATTAGAAATGGTTCAGTGCGTAAAATGTTCTTGCTGTTTCAGTCCTGGTCGTTAACGGTGGTAATAATACTAATAACTTCATTTCTGAGGGCAATATAGTTAAATATTGGACAGAGTGCCGTCAATTGCCCTTCGATATGATGTTATTGTACTATTATAGCAAACTGTACCATACTTTTGACATATTATTATAAAAAGCATTGAGATTTTTGTTGCAATGTTCATATACAGTAAAACCAGTCTTAGTAAACACCTCTCTCTAGTAGACTTGCTCCGTACATTCTCTACTGACTTCTGTATAAATTACCCTCTCTGTAGCATATGGGCGCAGTGCCTGTTACGCACAGTTCGCCTGTGCATACCAAATGAATTTGAAAAAAATTAAAAATGTGTTAAAATGCATTAATTTGTTTGCATATTTATTGATGATTCTGTATTTGTATATTTAACCATTACATAAAATTTTATCAGAATAGAACTATTCAAAGTTGATAAAAATGCTCAGATTGCATCAAATAATGTCTTCAGACCCCCAAGATCAGACATCCCAAAGTGGGCGTACCAACTCAAAGTATAACCCATGTGTAGTGAACACCTACAAACACTGAAGCCACTGAACTTTTTTCTCTGCAAAAAATGCTCAGCATACACAGGTATAAAGCAACCCCCTTCATTTCATGCCATCCACTGACAGTTCTGAAGATATTGTACCAAGTTTGACCTACGTTAAAAAATTTATGCACCTATGGTAGATCTGCCAAGGTATAGTTAGAAAAGGATGGCTGATATTATGGAATCCACAGCCTCTATTATCTCTGGAGATAGATAAATAGACTCTAATATATCAGAATGGATGGCTCATACCCAATATATGTCATAGCGATTTGTTTATTCTAACTAATTATCCACAAAGCCATTTATGTCCTCCAATATTACAGAATACTAGAATCAAATTATGCAATTTCTGATAAGTGACAATGTTCAATGGTCCTTTTTCCATATAGCTTTGAAATCTCGTTAAGGTCTTTTTTTAATGAGATTTTAGGAGATCTGCATTTTTAACCATTAAAAACTAATGTTTTCTTCCATCTGATGGCATATTTGAATTCTGTGAGTAATTCTCTATCAAAACAACTTTGATTTGCACTGTAATTTACCATTATTCAAATTCTAATGATTTACTGGTTGTCTAAAAAGGGTCGGGCTAAATCCCCATTGACACAATGCTGAAAAACCTTAAAAAGTTCATTTAATCTTCCAAGGATCACAAATATAATGTGAAATCACAATCCACATGTCAATAAGATCATAAAGTTACATTCCAATGATGTTTTAAGGTGGGGGGGGGGGGGGGTTAGACCTTGAAAAAAGTTAACTTCTTTTTACTGTTCCTGTCAACAACAAGACACCATCCCAAAGTAGTATAATATGAGTTGGATTTGCCACAAATAACTTGCTTTAATGTATCTCTAGCTGGCTTCATTCATTAGGGCTGAGGATACACTCATATTAGCACCATAATCCTCTATAATTGAATTGCAGTGACATCCTTTATATGGGTGAATTATTGCATTATTCTAGTCCTAGTTGGTAATTACAGTATATAGAAGAACAATATATTTCATAAAAGAACAATATTAATCATACAAGAACAATTTATTTCACACTTTAAACCACAAATTATTTTATACTTGTTTATTAGATGATATGAAGTTATTTTTAAGAACATTTGGCAGATTATCAAGGTATTTACTATTTCACAATCGCAATCATCATACATACCTTTCATTCAAATAAACAATTGTTAAATATTTTAAATGTTTTTGTTTTTGTTCCCCTGTATAAACAAACAACATCACAGTAGCCACTCATAAGTTTATGAACAGTAAAACTTAAATCAGAATATTACAAAAGCAAAAAATTAATGCTAGTTAACATGACACGAGGTGATAAATATCACAATTTTTATCAAAAAATTTAAAAGAGCTGCCAAGTAATTTACCTGGTGTGCCTAAAATCTAATCAAATTTTGGCTATTGGTCTGCTCCTGCATCTTTAAAACTTGTTTGTCTACACTTTACTTTGAACAAAACAATGTAAAAGATGGGAATCCTGCTGATGAGACTGTTACAGCTTAACAATGTCACCACCTGCCATTTGTTACAGATGCCAATGCTGATTGCCGGACACCAAATACAATCACAAAAAAGTTAGTGTAACAATATGTCACCACTTCTAGTGGTGACAAAAAAGGATGGAGACCATAACTATGTTATAGCCACTTGAGGTGGTGACAACAATAAAAGCCCGGAGGACTAAAAGTACAATATATGCAGCAACCATACTTCATATTTCAACTTCAAACCAGATCCTAAAGTGAAGATCACAAGAAAAATCAAAGCAGTGTTATCTAATTATCCTATGTTTAACCAAAGATAACTGCAGCACTGATGAATCCAATTTATGATCAACAATATACTTTTACATTGCACAGAAGGTCTAGAATATTTCTCTAAATGTTTTCCCACAAAAAGCAGGTTACCCTAATTGAGAAATTATTCTGCTAAACAAAGGTTAAACATTTAATCTAGTAAGGGATAGTTGAACGTGACTTGTTTATTTGTGTAAACATCAATAGCATCACTACACTCCTCCAGTCAAAGTGGTATGTCTCTAATGAGATGTTAGGAAGGGACAATGACTTTGTACTGATGGGTCGGCTTGGCAAT